TAACCTTGCAATTACCAGTCCAGGGCTTATCCTATAGCACCACACCAAGGCTCATTTTCAGGAGTCATGGTGTGGTGCTGCAGAATAAACAACAAGCTTCAAGGTCAGTTTGAACTACTAGATTCAAACCCACTTGTGGTTCAAACCAACTTTGTAGTCCAGCTCATTTACCCACAGTGCCACACGCTGAAGAATAAGCCATTGAAAATTCTATGCATGAAAGTTCTACTCGGACATGAGGTCACAATGAATTGACTCAGCAGCTAGTACTGGTATTTGAATTCTATCTGATGTCACTTCTTTATTGTATAAAATATTTCTTTTATTATTTCCTATAAGGCAGTTCTCTTAGCCACACATTTTCTGTATTTGTTCATCTCTAAATGTCATTAACTTTTATTTTTTAACAGATATAGAATTCTTATTTTCAAAGCACTTTAATATGCTATTCCACTGCCTTCTGGCCTCCATTGTTTCTGATGAGATGTAAGCTATTAATCTTACATGGTTCCCTTGTACATGGTGCCAGCAAGACTTTCTCCTTTTCATCCCTTTGTCTATGAGATGTCTGGTAGTGCATCTGTTTGTGTTTATTTTACTTGGAAACTACTGAGGTTCTTTTATGAAGAGATTTGTGTGTTTTTCATTAAATTTGTAGCTTTTGACCACCAAACCTTCCCTACCTGCAAATAACCCACTGCCATTGAGTTAATTCCAACTCATAGCAATGTGATGTAGTGTTTCTGGGAATTTAAATTATTACAGTAGCAGACAGGTGGGTGCATTTGAAGTGATGACCTTGCAGTTTTAGTCCAATGCATAACTCAGTACTCCATGAATACTCCATTCTTTGCAATTGTTCTGCCCCTTCCACTTTTTTCTGGGACTCTCATGATGCATATGCTGACGCACCACCTAGGAACCTTTTCCTGATCTCTTAAGTATGTACTTAACCTTGAGCATGTTTTAAACTTTCCAGACCACCAAGGACATGTAGGATATTATCAAGTCTCACTTGACTATCGCTTAAATTTCTGCCTGGTCTGCTAGTCACTTTCTTGCTCCAATTAATAATACTTCCATCTCAGTCAATCTAAGTATGATACTTATCTTTCCTGTTTGCTACTGAGCGCATTATTCTTAATAATACTTCAGATCATGGTACTTTCTCCTGCAAAGAATATTGTTCTCCTCCAGTAGTGAAGCTACTTACTCACCCACAGTCTTACCCACATAGCTACACTTCTACACAATGGAATTTGGGGTAGGAGAGAAGGAGCAGTGCATATTAAACCACTACTCTTACTAATCCATTGCTCTTCCTGAGGCGCAGTAGATTTTCTTAAATACTTCATTTGTTGTATGCCTTAAATCAACTTCCAGAGTCTTTAAATGGTTGTTTATAGTCAATTTTGTCCAATCTTATCATCTTTTTATAAAGGAGATGATTTTCCATAGTCCTACTCAGTCATTCTGGAAGTCTCACTTTGCTCTCTATTCTTGGAGAAGGTATTTTCCATATAGTCTTGTAGTTACTTCTGCACTTCTCAGAGTTAGGTCCTCCCTGTTCAGAGTGGTCATCCCTGACCACACTGTATAAAATAATTTTTGACTCCTATTACCTTATTTTGCTTTGTATTACTTCATAACATTTTCCATTTTTTGACTTTTTCTATATTTGTTTATTATGTCTCTACTACTGGAATACAAACTCTCCATGAAGCTAGGGTTACTGTTTGTCTTGTTTATCACATCCTTAGAATCTATAGCAGTGCTTACCATGGGTAGATTTTCCATAAATATTTGTGGAAAAAATGAGTGCTAGGTATCTATTTTCTCAAGCTTGTGAGACAATAGTCATTCTAATAAAGTTTTGTTGGTATCGTGATATCACAGTATTGTGGAATGTTATTGGATTCTACAAGTAGCACTACTAGAAATGAACCCCTTCCAGAAATACTAGTCTTGAATGTAAAATGATAGGCATTGGGATGTATTAGGTTGTTCCCTGCAGACTGTTTGTAATTTAGAAAAATTAAAAACAAAACTGAATATGCAGCAGTACAGAATAACCAAACCCACTGCTATTGAATCGATTTTGACTCACAGCAACCTTGTAGAGGGTTTCTGAAGCTGCAAATCTTTACTGGAGAAGTAAGCCTCCTCTTTCTCTCTTGGAGCAGCAGGTGGATTGGAACTGCTGACTTTGTGCTTAGTAGTCCAACCTGTAACCCACTATACTATCAGGGTTCCTTAAATATGCACTTATGTTATTGTTGTTAAGTGTCATCAAGTCAGTTCTGACTCATAGCGACCCTGTATAGGGTTTCCAAGGAGTGGCTGGTGGGTTTGAGCTACCAACCTTGTGGTTAGCAATTCAGTGTTGATCCTACAGCACCACACCAGAACATCATGCAGTAATTGTTGCTGTTGTTGTTAAGTGTCACTGACTCGATTCCTACTCATTGTTGTTGTTGTTGTTAGGTACCATCAAGTTGGTACTGACTCGTACTGACCCTATGCACAGCAGAATGAAACACTGCCTGATCCTGGGCCAACCTCACTACTGTTGCCACACTTGAACCCATCAATGCTGCCACTTGGCCAATCCATCTGGTTGGGGGTCTTCCTTTCTCTGACCCTCCACCTTACCAAACATGATGTCTGTCTCCAGTGACTGGTCCCTCCTGACAATATGTCTGAAGTATGAGAGACCAACTTTGGCCATCTTGGCTTCCAAGGAGCACTCTGGCTGCACTTCTCCCAAAACGGATCTATTGGTTCTTTTGGCAGCCCATGGCACTTTCAACATTCTCCTCCAACACCATAACTCAAAAGCATCAATTCTTCTACAGTCTTCCTTATTCACTGTCCAACTTTTGCATGCATATGAGGTTATTGAAAATACCATGGCTTGGGTCAGGCACACCTTAGGCCTCAAGCTGACATCTTTGCTCTTCAACACTTTTAAAAGGTCTTGTGCCACAGATTTGCCTAATGTAATGCATCGTTTGATTTCTTTACTGCTGCTTCTGTGAGTGTTGATAGTTGATCCAAGAAGAATGAAGTCCTTGACAACTTCAATCTTTTCTCCATCCTGTATAGGGTTTCCAAGGAATGGCTGGTGGGTTTGAACTGCTGACCTTGTAGTTCAAACTGACTTTGCAGTCCAGTGCATTATCCTGCAGTGCCATAAGTAAGATATGTTAAATAGTAAGAAGCAATGAAGCTATTAAAAAGTCATTGTTTGTATATGTTCTGTAATAGAAAAGTGCACGTTCTGGAATTTCATTTTTTTAGTTCCAGACATACTGCATCAGTGTATTTAATCTCATAGAGTGTGCATATCAGAATTCAACTTCTCTTGACTTTCCAGAAAGTAGATGAACACTTACCAAATTGATAGCAGTGATGAGTGAGTACACAAACGCAATGGAAACTTCCAAATGGTAGGAGATCAATAAAATACGTGACACTAACCTCCCAAGTTTCTGAAAACAGAAAATAGAGGGAAAGTTTCCATTATCTTCAATAATTGAAAACTCATTCACTGAAGGAGCTCAGGATGAGTCAAGGAAAATCTCCTTCCGCATTTGATTTCCCTAGGCAATCTTTGCTTTTTTAACTTTGCTACTTTAATTTTTCAAAGCTTTCATCCCCCAAATTCATCTTCTGAAGCTTCCATTCATGCTCTTCCCCACTCAGCATTCTTATTACTTACAACTCTTTATTCTCTACACTAGAGTCCCTGCACAATTCAGTATCCAAACTCTTCAGTAACTAAAATTTGACTCTCTTTTCTCTAATGGTAAGATAGTTATGAGTTGTTGTTTTTTTCATCAATCAATCCCCATCTGTTAAAATGGCTATGATTATAAACTTAGTTGGGCAAGTCAAGGAATCAAATATTTTATTAATATATACAAAATATCATTTTAGAATTGTTTTTGAATTTACACTTTCAATCAAGAGCTTACTACTAAATCAGAGTTTCCCAAGAAACAGTGAAAGTCTGTTTTACTTCCTAAAGCTTTAAAACAACTGAAATGAATTATTTTGAAATGAAGGTTTTTCTATAGGATTGATGACTTACTGCTTGTCCATAATTCCTGTATGACACAGATTGAAACTGAGACAATTCAATGACTGTTAGAACTATTGCAGCTATGGCAGTAATTAAGGAGAGGATGGAAAAGGTCAAAGCAGATGCAACCTAAAACAGATAGGGTAAAACGCTCAAGTTAAAACTTTGATCTAGTTTCTGAAGTTTTGGGAGTGTGGATATGTTTGCTTCTAGAGGGGGAAAACATATGTGTATATATATACATATATTTTGATTCACATGAAACCAACTTAATCTGGAGAAAAACTTAAATACCAGCAGACCACTAAGAATCAATATTCTTTTGGGGTTCAAAAATAGTGTATTTTACAATCTAATGAAGCAAATGGGAGAAAACCTATAAGGTAGGTATGCTTTGAAATAAAGGTTTCATTGTTAAAAAAAGAAAGAAAAGAAAAAAAAGACTAAGAAAACCATTTGTAGAAATAAAGCCAAATGAGAATCTTTGAGTTTTAATTCTGGACTTCCATTATCAGAGAAATCATTTGATATCTTTCTGTATTAATTTGAAGTTTTCTGTTCAGCTCTTTGACTTACTCATTTTTACCATTCACTTTAGCATCTCTGTGCTGGAAAGTAAGTATCAGGGTCTCTTCTGACACCCACTTTGGTCCTTTCTTTCTTTCCTTTAAATGACCTTTGCTTTCTTCATGTAGATGTTCTTGATGTCATGCACCTCTTTTGGTCTTTGGTTATTAGTGTTCAGTGAGTCAAAGCTTTTCCTAAGATGGCCTCTAAATTCAGATGGGATATGGCTCAAGGTCGTATTTTGGATCTCATGGGCTTTAGTTTTTCTTGAGCTTCAACCTGAACTTTTGTATGAGCAGTTTCCTTGGCTTTGTTTTGGCTGATGATATTGAGCTTCCCATTCATCTCTTCCCACACATGTAGTCAATTTGTAACGAGTTGTTGTTGGACTTGCAAAATTTAATCATGCAATCTCCAGAATCACTTCTATCACTGAGGCCACGTTTTCCAATTACTGATCCCTCTTTGTTTTCATTGCTCACATTCTAACCACCAGTAATTATCAATGCATCTTTATAAATTTAAGACTGAAGAATTTAGCAAAATTCAATTTCTTTATCATCTTGGTGATTGATGTGTTTAAATCTGAATAATAGTTGTATTAACTGGTCTTCCTTGTATGTGTATCAATATTATATCACAGACAGCATTGTATTTCAAGATAGATCTTGGAATGTTCTTCTTCAGCAATGCTTTACTTATCTAGGGTCTCTTTCCGTAACATATAAAGGTGATGAGTTTTTTCCATCTGTTTAAAGAATGATGGTGGAAACTGGATTGGGACTGCATTCTCACTGTAGATCACTTTGGGCAGTATTGATATTTACACAGTGTTAAATCTCCCTATCCAATAGCATGGTATATCCTTTCACTTTTGTTTCTTTTGGTTTCCTGTAGTAGTGTTCTGAGTTTTCTTTGTATGTCTTCTTATCTCTGGTTAGATATATTCTTAAGTACCTAGTCTTTTGGGTAAATAATGTAAATAGCATTGTTTTCCTGATATCCTTTTCACAGTTGTCTTATTTTGCAAACCAAAACTGATTTTGCACGTTGGTTTGTACCCTTACCTTACCGGAATCCTCAATTACTTTCAGAAACTGGAGAAATTTTCAGATTTTCTATGTATAAGATCATAGTTTCAAATAGTGATGGTTTTATATCTTTTATTTTCTTTTCTTGAATTTTATTTCATTTTCTTGCCTCATTGATCTGGTGAGGAATTCCACAACATGTTTAATAGAAATGGTAATAAAGGACATCCTTGTCTGGTTCTCATTCACAAGGGGGAATGTTTTCATATCTTTGTCTGTTGGTCATAGATTTGTGTATATGCCCTTAATTATACTGATGAATTTCCTTTGTATTCCCATTTTGATGAACATTTTTATCAAGAAGAGTGTTGAGATTTTGTTAAATACCTTTTATGTATCAATTGATATGATTCTTTTCCTTTATTTGTGGTGGAATATGTTGATTGTCTAATGTTGAAGCATCCTTGCATATCTGATTTAAATTCCACTTGGTTATATAATTTTGTTTTGGGATATGTTGTTGGATTTTATATGCTAGTTTTGTAAATTCTAGCTTCAATATTCATGAGTGATAGTAATCTATATACTTTTTTTAGTAATGTATTCTATTTTCAGGAGCCTTGGTAGCAGTGAGTTCTTTTATGTTGCTAACTGCAAGGTCATCAGGAGAAAAGAAGGCTGGCTGTCTCAGAAACTTTATAGGGGGTCACTAGGGGTCTGAATTGACTCTACGGTAGTGGGTTTGGTTTTGGTATGCTTGTTTCATAGAATGAGTTTGGGAGTATTATTTCCTTTTCTATGTTCTGGGACACTTTGAGTAGAATTTGTGCTAGTACTTCTCTGAATGTTTGGTAGAAAATTCACCAGTGAAGCTCTTGGGGTCAAGACTTTAATGCTTAATCTCCTTTGTTATGGGTCTTATTCTAATTTTTTACTTCAGTGTGAGTTTGGTGTGTTTGTAGAAATGGGTCTAACTTTTCTGTGTTAAACTTGTAGGACTACATCATTGTTGTTGTTTTTGTTAGATGCCATCGAGTCAGTAGCGACTCATAGCAACATTATGCAAAGCAGAACGAAACACTGCCTGATCCTGGGTCAACCTCACTATTGTTGCCACGCTTGAGTCCATCGATGCTGCCACTTGGCCAATACATCTCGTTGCGTGTCTTCCTTTCTCTGACCCTCCACCTTACCAAACATGATATCCTTTTCCAGCGACTGGTCCCTCCTGACAATATGTCTGAAGTATGAGAGACAAAGTTTGGCCATTCTGGCCTCCAAGGAGCACTCTGGCTGCACTTCTTCCAACACAGACCTGTTAGTTCTTTTGTCTGCCCATGACACTTTCAATATTCTCCTCCAACACCATAACTCAAATGCGTCAATTCTTCTACGGTCTTCCTTATATACTGTCCAGCTTTCGCATGCATATGAGATTATTCTTTATTTCAGTAGGTTTTGTTGTGATATCACCTATTTAACTTATTGGTATTATTTGCATCTACGTCCTCTTTTTCTGTTAAATTTGCAAGTGCTTTGTCAATTTTATTTATCCTTTCCAAGAATCAACGTCTAATCTTGATTATCCTTTTTTGTTTTGTTCTGTTAATATCTTTGTTTCCTTTTGGTGCATTTTTTTTCTTCTTTTTTTAAATATTGGAGCTGTTGTGTTAAGGTGCTGATTTTGGTTCCTTCTTTTTTGATGTCTGGACTTAATGCTATAAATTGACCTCTAAGCACTGCTTTTCTGTGACCTAAAGATTTTGGTGTGGCGTTGTGGGCTAATGCATCAGAATGCAAAGTCATTTGAACTGCGGGGTTGGTGGTTCAAGCTCACCAGTTGCTCCTTGTAAACCCTATACAGGGTCATTATGGGTTGGAATCGACTTGACAGCACTTAACAACAACAACAAAGATTCTGGTGCAGGAGAAAGATAATGCTTTCTGCTGCTGAAAATATGTATAGCCTCAAAAACCTATTCAGGGTTGTTATGAGTTGTAATTGACTATATGGTACTTGGCACCACCACCACCAAAGACTTTGGTATTTTTAAAAAATTCTCATTTGATTCAAGAAAAATTTTAAATTCCATTTCTTATCTCTATTTCCCAGTAGCTCTTAAGCAGGGTGTTACTAGCCTTCCATATATTTGACTTTTTCCCCTTGATCTACTTCTAATTTTGTAGCATTGGGATCTAAGATGCTTTGCAGCATTTCAATGTTTCAAAGTTTATTGAGGCTTTCTTTGTGGCCTAACATATGGTCTTTTCTTGGAAGTGCTAAGTGTACACTAGGAAAGAATGCCTATTGTGCTGTTGTTGAATGTTCTGTATACATCTATGAGGTTGAATTGATTATGTTGTTTAAATATCCTCTTTGGTGTATTTCTTTCTAGTTCTGTTCTTCATAAAAAATGATGTATCCAAGTCTCCTACTATTATTGCTGATTTATCTATTTCTCTTTACAATTCTGTTAAAGGTTATGTGTTTTGAGGCTTTTTCATTGGGAGCACAGATATTACTGTTATGTTCTCTTGTTGGACTGACTCTTTAAATGTTCATATAATGTCCTTTGTCTCTTTTTCTAGAGTTTGCCTTACAGTCTATTTCATCAGAAATTAGTATTACCACTCCTGCACTTTTTTGGTTGCTATTTGCTTGATACATGTTTTTCCATCAATTATTTTTTAGTCTAATTTTGTCTGTGTTTAAGGTCTCTTGTAGACATTATATTGACAGGCCATATTTTCTTGTCCCTCTTGCTACATTTAATCCATTTACATTTAGTGTAATCATCAATAGGTATGAATGCACTGCTATCATTTTGCTTTGTGTGTGGTTCTGCTGCTGCTACTGCTTTGTTCCATATATTTTTCTGTACTTTAATTTTGTCTACAGATTTTATCATTTCTTTCATTACTGAATCTTTATGACTTTCTTTTTTTTATTTTGGTGGTTTATTAATTTTCTTGGATGTTATCCTGTAATTTATTATCTTACCAAATTTGAAAGTCGATTCTTTCTTGAGACTGTGTTTATTGTTGTTGTTGTTAAGTGCCGCCCAGTCGGTTCTGACCCATAGTGACCCTGTATAGGGTTACCAGCTGTTCCTTGGAGATTGTGTTTATTACTCTCCATTTATTCCTTCTTTTGATTTGTAGTTGTCATTTACATGTTGATTTCTATAGTTTTCTATTTTCGGTCTTGTAGTTTTATTTTTTATATCTCTACATCTGGATTGATTTATGGGTGACATGTGTCTTAATCTCAAGATTGTTGTCTGCTATTGTGGGTTCTGTGTGTGAAGAACTCCCTTTAAAATCTGTTGCAAGGTTGTTCTTGTTGCTACAAGTTCCTTTGATTTCTGATTACCTGGAAATGTTCAAATTCACTATTGTATTTGATGGACAATTTTGCTGGGTGTGTAATTCTTGGTTGGCATTTTTTTTCTTTAGAGTTATCCTGCTGCCTTCTTGCATGCATGGTTTCTACTGAGAAAACAGATCTTCTTCTTAATGGTTCTACTTTGTAGATAATTTTTTACTTTTCTGGAGCTTTTTTCAGGATTCTTTCCTTGTCTTTGGTTTTAGACACTTATCATATGTATTGAGTTTCTTGTATGATCATCCTATTTCGGGTTTGTTGAGCATTTTGAATGCATAGTTTCTCATCTTTCATTATATCAGGAGCATTTTCTTTCAATAAATTTTCAACAATTAAATGTTTTGTATTGTCTTTTCCTGTTCTGGAATCCTGACCACATGTTAAGTAATTCCTCTTGATGTTGTTGTTAAGTGCCTCAAGCTGGTTCTGACTTACAGTGACCCTATGATGGTATGCATATAATTTTTAGGATTTCTTAAATTTTTTGTTTTGTTCTTTTCCATTTGTCCTTCCACCAGATTTGTATTAAGAGATTAGTCTTCAGTCTCACTAATTCTGCCTCCCATTGATTTAAATCCACTCTTTTACCCTTCCTATATGCTATTTCTGAAATCTTAGTATTAATCTTCTGTATTTGTTCTGTATAGTTTCTAATTTTTCATTTATTTTGCCAATTTCTTAAGTTCTTCTACAGACTTGTCTGTGTTTTCCTTGATTTTGCCTATAAATTTTTTGGTATCATCTTTGTTTTCTTTGATCTCCTTCTTAATCTGCTAAATGGACCTATGTATGATTCTTTTGAATTGCTTACCAGGTAGTCCCAATACTATCTCTTTTCCAGAAGATTTTCTGGCCTTTATTTGGTCAGTTGTTTGAGCCATCTTGTCTTATTTAGTGTGATTTGAAGTTTTCTGTTGTCTCTGAGATGTTGTGGCAGTACTGTATTAACATGTCACTGATTATATATTGGCTTGCTTCACCCTGATTTTTACTATATCCAGGCCATGGGTTGGCATGCTTATTTTGGTCATTGTTTGGGAGTACTGGTGAGTTCAGCACCTGTATCTGGTGAATTTGGCAGCAGGTGAGAGTGTAGCCACAAGTCTAATTGCTGGTCATGTAGAGCAGCTGAGAGCAGCTGGTCAGATGCTGACCACCATCTGTTGTTGATCCAGTGGTGCTGGAGATAGTCTTGAGACTAGATAATTGTGTGGGATAGTAGGTGTGGCATGTGCAACTAGGTAGGGCTACTGGCTCCAGTCTGATGTGGGGAAGAAAAAGTTTTAGAGGGAAAAAAAGAAAACCAAGAGGGAGGGGAGAGAAGAAATAAGAGGAAAAAAAAGTGGTACCACAGTGAAGCAAATACTAGCTTCCAAACATGACTGCAGTGGGAATTGAGTGCTCACCCTGTGGGTATGTGCACCACTGACCTCAGCAAGGCACGAGTGCCTTCTGCTGACCATGAAGCTTGTGAGAAGCAGTGTGCCCACTCTGTAAGTGGTGGAGGCAGACTGTGGAGGTGATAGGGATGGAATATTTGCTCTACATATAATAATAAGGGGAGTCTGAGGGAAGAGGAAGAAGAAAAGAAAACAAGGTGGGGAGAGGAAAGAAATTAAAAAATGAAGGTAAAAATGAAAAAAAAAAAAAACACCACAAGACTGGCCGTTGGAGGGAACTGAATTGACTAATTCTTGGGTGAGTAGGGATGGGGGAATGTACCTCTGATTACCAGGAATTTATGGGTCACCAATCCGAGAAGCTGGATTATATGAAGAAAAACGTGGCACCAGGATTGACGTAAGACTCATTAACAAACTGTGATATGCCAATGATACAATCTTGCTTGCTGAAAGTGAAGAGGACTTAAAATATTTACTGATGAAGATCAAAGAGCACAGCCTTCAGTATGGATTGCATCTCAATGTCAAGAAAACAAAAAATCCTCACCACTGGACCAATAAACAACATTCTTATCAATGGAGAAAGATTGACGTTGTCAAGGACTTCATTCTTCTTGGATCAACTATCAACACTCATGGAAGCAGCAGTCAATAAATCAAAGGACGTATTGCATTAGGCAAATCTGCTGCACAAGACCTTTTTAAAGCATTGAAGAGCAAAGATGTCAGCTTGAGGACTAAGGTGCGCCTAACCCAAGCCATGGTAATTTCAATAACCTCATATACATGCGAAAGCTGGACAGTGAGTAAGGAAGACTGTAGAAGAATTGATGCATTTGAGTTATGGTATTGGAGAATATGGAAAGTGCCATGGGCTGCCAAAACAAACAGATCTGTGTTGGAAGAAGTGCAGCCAGAGTGCTCCTTGGAGGCCAGGATGGCCAAACTTCATCTCTCATACTTCAGACATATTGTCAGGAGGGACCAGTCGCTGGAAGACCCCAGCGAGATAGATTGGCAAAATGGCAGCATCAATGGGCTCAAACATGGCAACAATTGTGAGGTTGGCCCAGGATTGGGCAGTGTTTCGTTCTGTTGCACATGGATTGCTATGAATTGGTACTGATTCCATGGCACCTAACAACAACAACAATCTCACTGGTCACCAATCAGATTAAAGTGATGTGGGTGTTGGTTTAGTCCTAGGCAAGGAGAGCCAATTCTCTGGTTCTTGCCCTGATTAGACCACTGCTTACAATAATTCAAAAGGCCACACTTTGCTGGGCCAGGTGACAATTCATTGCTCTGTATGCCTCCTTTTTTGCTATTTTATTTAGTCTGTTCCTCTAACTGGTACTTGATCTGCTTCTTTATCCTTTCCTTTGAAGCTCTGGGTTCTATGATTGCCATCTGTAACTATTTCTCAGGTCTTTGTTGTAGAGCGTCTGGATAGTATATTTGCCTAGTCTGCCATCTGAGATCAACTGGGAGAAGATTTTTAATAAGCAACTTTTTAATAAGAAACTTCTAACTTTTTAATAAGAGATTTAGAGATAGAAATATCCCCAGATTTCCAACTTACCACACAGTAACTTGGTTGCTTTGCTGTTTTTATTATGAAGATTCCTGAAATGATAAACTGGATATAAAGAACATATTTATAAATCTTTATGCATAATGCTTGTAAATCTAAAATTATTTTTAGCAACTTCTTCTTCTAAGTCAATTCAATGCTTTTATAATACTAAGAATAACAATAAAGAGAAATATCCCCATTTTCAGTTTAAATAGAAGGGGTTAATAAAGTTTTATGATGCAGTAATGAATTGAAAGCTATACAGTAGTGTCATTATTAACACATACAGGAGACCATAGGCAGAGTTCAGGTTGCAGGATACGCCAAAAATTACCTAAGCAGTCCTGAATCTGAAACCAAGTTTGCTTACATGTATGTATGCTTACTAAATTCATTTGATTATTACTTCTAATGCTATCCTTATCTTCATGAAATTATATCACTGATTATAATTACTATACCCAAGTTTGGATAAAGTGCTCGCTGAGTCTATTATAAATTGTACATGTACAAAATATATTTAATTGGGACTGTAGCCATTATTAAGGCAAAAGTAAGTACTTACGGCCTTTGTCTCAAAAAAGAGGTTCTATTGTTTTCTGTCAGGGTACTTTCTCTATTTCCCACAACTGCAAAGCTATGCTATATTGTTTGAAGGTGGAATGCAAAATTCCCTTGACATATTCTTTTTGTCTTACCTGTTTAGTGATATTAACAAAGAAATTTATAACAAAGTAGTGTTCATGCCACATAGCATATACAAAGGGACTTCAAAAAGTTTGTGGAAAATTCCATTATCTTTTAATTGTAATTTTCCATGAACTATTTGAAGCTCCCTTATATAGGAAGGTCAAATCTGACACAAATTCCACAAAAAGATCTCAAATGTATATACTTACTATAAGTGTAACAAAAGCTTAGATTTCTGAGGAATACAGTAAAGAACAGAGCTATCCCAGAATTCAAATGTGAGTATCTCGTGTATCTTAAACTACATTGTGCTCTAACTAGACTACCATGTGTTTTTGTCAGAATTATGACCCAAATGAGAAGTCTTTTATTGTACTGAAACTAATTGAAAATTTAGATGATTTATTCTAGGAGTTAAATATGCTATTTATATAACCTAGACCCTTGCTTGTTGGTAGTGAGGAGGACTTAAACTACTTACTGATGAAAATCAAAGACTACAGTAATCAGTATGGATTTTAGCTCAATATAGAGAAAACAAATATCCTCACAAGGAGCTCTGGTAGCGTAGTAGTTACGAATCGGGCTGCGAACCGCAAGGTCAGAAGTTCGAAACTACCAGCTGTTCTGTGGAAGAAAGATGAGGCTTTCTGCTCCCATAAAGATTTACAGCCTCGGAAACCCTATACAGGGTCACTATGAGTCGTAACCGACTCCACGGCACACAACAACAACAACACAAGTGGACCAGTAAATAACATCATAATAAATTTACGTTGTCAATCAACTCTCATGGAAGCAGCCATCAAGAAATCAAACAATTTGTTGCATTAGGCAAATCTGCTGCACAAGACCTTTTAAAAGTGTTCAAAGATCATCAGTTTGAGGACTAAGGTATGCCTGACCAAAGCCAGTGCATTTTCAGTAGCTTCATATGCATGCATGTAAAAGTCGGACAGTGAATAAGACTCACCTTAGAATTGATACATTTGAGTTATGGTGTTGGAGAAGAATATTGAAAGTACCACGGACTTCCAGAAAGAAAAAAAAAAATCTGTGTTGGAATAAGTACAGCTAGAATGCTCCTTAGCAGTTAGATGGCCAGATTTTGTCTCTCATACTTTGGACATATTATCAGAAGGGTAGTCCCTGGAGTAGGACATTATGGTTGGTAAAGTGGAGAGTCATTGGAAAAGAGGAAGAACCCCAACGAGATAGATTGGCACAGGGGCAGGAGCATAAAAAGAAATGTGAGGATGGAGCTGTATTTCATTCTGCTGTGCATAGGGTCATTATGAGTCAGAACTGACTTGAAGGCGCCTAACAACAACATCACATGGAAGATTAAACACTAAAAGGACATGTATCATTTACCTGGATTTTGGTCTGAAAATTCACAAGGATGGGGTATATACAATTTACTACTTCCTGTATAGTTCTTTAAAGATGGTATCCATCTTGTCTTGGTCTCAAGAATGAGTTAAGTGGTGTTGTTCCTCCTTATTGATACTTACAAGCAATCTCTCTCCCAGAGCTTTGGGAATCACATGTCATCATATTCTATCACCTATTATCCCTCATGATTGACATGATCTATTGGCACCTTGGTTGTCCTCAATTTCTAGATGATTCAAATTACTGTCCCTGTTACTCCTTCCAACCCTGCTTAGTTCTTGGTGGTTGCAACATACACAGATGTGGTCACCATAAATCGCATTTGACTCTTTGGAAATTGGTTTCAATATACACATACATTATTCTTTTAACATCCTGGGCATGTGGTTATTTGACTCTCTCTCCTCCAGTGTTCTTAATTCTCCTTATCTTAATCACTCACTCCCATATTAATTTTTTTGACCTTGTCTCAACCAATTAACTGCAAAACCTTCCAAATCTTAACTTCAAGGACTTCATCTGAACCACTTCTGTCTTTTAGCTCCTGCACTCTAGTGATCCAACTCTTAAGAAGTCTGTGATCTCCACTTCAACCTTTAAACTGAGACCCTCACATCCACGTTATATTCTCTTCATCTAATTAAATTGCATGATCAACTTTTACAAACACTTCCTTATATATGCTCTCAACTTTTTTGTGTCTTTGCTTCACCACAGTTGCCTGGTTAAATTGAAATCCTAAGTAAATGCAGTTCTTCTCCAACTATGACATACACTGAAAGCCAGAGAAAGACATATGATTCATCTCACTATACAATCATGTTGCTGAATGACGCTCAAGTGAGCCCTTAATGCCTGGAAATCAAACTACTTTTACATTATTCTTAATTTTCCTAGATGTCTACTTCATATCCTCTTTTCCCTCTTCAAACAACCAATCCAACTTCCTATCCTCACTCTTAGTTCATGATCTTGCTTTCTAATTCACTTTTTGATGTCATCAGAAGAAAAGTTATATAAACTTCCAATATCCCATTTAAATCTATCCCTCAAAACATGTTCATTCCTTCTGCTATTCTTGCCTTTTTATCCTGTTACTTGACACTATTCCATTAGGGTTGCATAATCATTTGTTGTTGGTGGCTGTCCTGTGCACTGTAGGATGTTAAGCTACATTCTTGACTTTTGCCCACTAGACACAGCTAGCATATGAAAACCAAAAGTGTCTCCAGATATTTGTTCTTAGAGGGGAGAAAAATCAACCATATTTCAGATCACTAGAGGTGAACTGTCCAGGCTCTTAGCTATGACCAACCTACTTGTGCACTAAAATTCATCATCTTTTACCAAGACAGGTATATGGTTCCAATAAGCTTCTTCTTCATCTGTGTTGTACCATCAAGTTTCCCCATTCTGATTCAGTTCCATTAACAAATAAGTATTATTTCTTCCAATTTACTGAAATAAACCCTCTCTTCATTCTGCCTTCTCCAAACTTCTATTCCATTTCTTTAACCCCATTACAACAAAGTCCTTGAAGGACTTGTCTTCATTTACTGTATCTAGCTCTTCTCTTTCCATTATGTCTTTAATTATCTCCAGTCAGGCTTCTGCTCCACCATTCCAATGAAACTACTTGTCAAGTTTACTATTGACCTTGGTATTGGTAAGTCCAAAGGTTAATGCTGAATCTTCATCTTAAGAAATTGATACTTTCCCTCTCTTTGTAACACTTTCGTCACTTGGTTTCCAGGATGTCATACTCTCCAGGTTTTCCTTCTATCTTATGGTTGTTTAGAAACCACAGAAGAGTGAAGATAATGACAAATTAAAACAATGTTTAAGTATGTGTTCTGTATGGGAAAGAAAATACAGAGCTATAATTGGAGAATCAAATATGCTAATAGATATCATGGTTAAGCTTCTGTCTTTCATGTTTCTAGGGATAATCTAACCTATTGTTGGCATTATACATCTACTCCTGTATCCACAAATGGTGGAATAGTACTCACTGATATTTTCTGTAAAGAGATTTGAATTTGAATAAATTATCAATGTAAGATTCAGTTACATAATTTTCTTGAAAACTTTGATAAGCATCTGTCTCCTAACCTTCAATTATTTGATATGAATATAAATTACTGAATGATTTACTCAATATAAATTGTATTATACTCACAACAATTCCCCATAAAGCGCTTCCTGTGGTGTAAGTTATAGGTTTATATACTCCAAAGACTCCTTGAATTTGCCCCATATACAAAAGCAGTACGAAATACCACATTAAAACATGAAAGATGCCAATCATAATCTGGATAACCTGTGAGAAGAGAAAAATATTAGTACTTAAACCATGTGATTTTTAATAGGATTCCATTGAGTGTTAATTACAAACATTTGAAAAATATTAATACAATTAACCACTTATTTCATGCATTTGTTAGCCTGGAAAGAAGGATCTTACAAGACAGGACTGAGATTTAGCAATCACACACCTAGAGCAACAGGCAATTCAATAGTAGTAGTAGTTGTTGTGTGCCATTGAGCCAGTTCTGACTCATAGAAACACTGTATAGGGTTCCTCAAAACAGCTGGTGGGTCTGAACTGCTGACCTTGTGGTTACCAATCCATTGATTACCCTACAGCACCACACCAGGACTCTCAATAGTAGTAGATGTGTTGTTCAGGACTGTCAAGTTGGTTCAGACTCATAGCGAGTCTGCATAGGGTTTTCAAGGAGGAGCTGATGATTTGAACCATTGACTTTGTGGTTAGCAGCTCATTACTTATCCTACAGCATCACAACAGAACTTCCTCAATAGCAGTAGCACTGACCAATTATCCCATAGAAACGTTTACAATCTGATGCTACTGCTGGCTATCCTCCCTTCTCATCAAATAATGACACTCAGGTGGTTGTTAAGTATTGTCAAGTCAGTTCAGACTCAGAGAGACTCTGTATATGGTTTCCAAAGATCAGCTGGTGGGTTTGAACCTCTGACCTCGCTGTTCAAACTGACCTTATGATCCAGTGCTTATCCTACAGCATCCCACCAGGACTCCTTGTAGGCGAGCAGTTCAGTGGTTATCCTACACAGTGCCACACCAAGACCATCAAATGATGACATTCAGGTGACTTGTAAGAAAATGTGGTTACTAATCTACTTGGAAGAAGCTTTATAACATAGTGATTATGTTTTGGGTTGCTAACTGAAAGGTCAGCATTTCAAATCTACCAGCTGCTCCATGGGAGAATGAGACTTTCTGCTCCGGTAAAGATTTACAGCCTCAGAAACCTGTATGGGGTTGTTATGAGTCAGAACTGAATTGATTCAATGTCAGGGAGTTTGGTTTGGACTGCTGGCGTGGCGCTGTAGGATCAGCACTGAACTGCGAACCAAAAGATTGGTAATTCAAACTCACCAATTGTTCCTCGGAAACCCTATACAGGGTTACTATGAGTTGGAACCAATTTGATGGCACTTAACAGCAATAATCTACTTGGATACAGGAAGCCATGCATCTAACACCTTATTCTATTTTTGTATTCTATTGAACATGAAAGACTTTATCTTTTCTTTCAATAATAACCTGGTATGGATTTTTCCACAGGCATGCTGACGTGAAGTGAAGGACAGTCCAACAAAGAAACAAAGGATATTCAAAGCACATTTGGCTTGTACAAAGTCTTGACATTGGCTAAGGGATGATTAGGATTGTTGTTGTTGTTAAGTGCTGTCGAGTCGTGCGGGAAGCACTTAACTCCCGTTGCTTGGCATGGCCGCAGCGGGGGGAAAGACATTATGCACAGCAAATGATCTCAAAATCTAGTCCCTATCTTCCCTTCAAGTTAACTCTTGAATTTACTTGTAAAACTATATAATATGGCAATATTCACAGCCTTTCACTATGAGTTCTACAAACCTGGCTTATCAATAATTGCTTTCAGCTTTGGTGGATTGAATACAAAGAGAATTGTGTAAATTACTTCCTTTCATAGAAAACCTAAGTAACTGCATTTGTGAGACCACAAAAGCAGATAGCAAATTAAAGTCAAGCTGACCTACCCCCATAGACCTCACCACAATCAGCCACTAGCTAGAATTCACAACCCCCTACATACAAGCACCTGCATAAACAAGCAGACAATAATGAACTTAAGTGAAGGATAATTTTGACTTGATAATCTACATTTCTTGCAGCAAGTAGCCAGGTTGGGCTTTATGCCACATAGCTTCCAAGTGATTTAATGAATATCTTTATTATGAAAATAGTAGTACATTATGTAGGATAGAAAGTTGATAATCTTTTAGTGGAAACAAGCAGAAACAGTTTATTCACATACTGGGAAAGGAGATGAAGGTCAGTCCAAACATCACAGAAATATTTTTGTCAAGGTTGTCTAATGACCAGGTGCAAGAATGTTGTGACTAACTGTGTAATAATTCAAGAAAAGATAAAAGTGTCAATTCATGTACTGTGTAATTTTAAGTATAAAAAATAAAGACTTGCTGAGCAGGGGTGGCAGAAAGCAGAGAGCAGGAGAAAGGAGAAAGAAGCAGCAGAAGGCAGAGCAACAAGCTGGACAGCTGGACAGCATAGCAAGCTGAAAAGCCTTTCGATTGCATTCATTCATTCATTTCTTCACCGATGACTCCGTGTATCCTCTCGTGTCCCACGACCCCTGCGGAGAGCTGGTCTCCCCGCAGAGTCGGTTCTGACAAATAGCGCCCCTTTCCAAGAAGCGACTGGTAAGCTTGAACCACCGACCTTGCAGTTCAAATGGCTTTGCAGTCTGGCACATTAACTCACAGAACCACACCAGGACTCAAAGGGATGATTAAGATTGTTCTTGTTAGGTACCATCGAGTC